GATCATTGGAGTTGGGGCAACACCTGTCCCTACCTCTGTCAACAGTTTTGAAGGGAGGCCTTCCCAGGGTTCCCGGCGCCGGAGGGGCAGAGGCCAACACCGAAGGGGTGGTGTGCAGAGGGCTGGCTCTCGAGGCTCGAGAAAACGGAGACGCCACACATTCTGCTATAGCTGTGGGGAAGATGGCCACATCAGAGCACAGTGTGTCAACCCCTCCAACCTGCTCTTGGTAAAGCAGAAGAAACAGGCTGCAATTGAGTCGGGAAACGGGAACTGGGCTTGGGACAAGAGCCATCCCAAGTCCAAGGCCAAGTAGGCTCGGGAGAACAGGGCAACATTTCCTACCGCAGTCCAAGGAGACAAGAGAGATATTGGAAGGAGGGGAAAGAGGAGCCCAGACAAACAACAGATGAGTTGAGTGGGACAGAGGGACAGGGCAGCCAGACCAAGGCCAAGCTCCCTCACTCTCTGCCAGCTGGAAGGGACTTCAGCAACCAAGATCAACTGGTAACTGGCTCAGTGGGTGCCAGGTCCACATCCCCAAAGAGGTGCTGGAGAGGAAAGCAGGGAGTCACTGCATCCAGTGCATGGGGTGCTTGGGCCTCAGATGGGGACCCCAACAAAGCAAAGGCTGAAGAAGGAGCAGCTGGGGGTTCTGTCCTGCTCATCCGGCCACCCCCAAATACCCACCCTGTGGACTTCGAGATGAGCATGCCCACTGGTCCCCAGGCCATGTGGGACCTCGAGGAGCCTGCCTGGGGCCTGCCCCTGCCAGAAGGAGCCAGAGCTGGTGAGGAAGAGCTGTGGGGCAGAGGCAAAGGCCTGCAGGGGAGGCTGCAGGGTCCAGCCCATCTTCAGGATCATCTCCACTGCACTAGGGGGGCCCCACGAAGGCAGCACCCTGGAGGCCCTGTGCCAGTGAGGCCAGGAGACCCTACGGCTCTGGGAACCCAGTGCCAGCCAGAGGCTGTGCAGGCAAGGAGACCAAAGATTGATGAGAAGACCCCCAGCAGGGGCACTGGGAACCCAGCAGGCCAGTGTCCTCACAGCTGACTTAGGCCACGGTGGCTGTGAAGGGAAGTCTTTGGTGCAAAGGAGGAAGAAAAGGGAGGACTTGGTGGGGGTTTATTTCTTCTGCTTGTTTCTATACAGGGCCACCGAACTCCTGGAGAAATCAGGCAAGGAACATCTGGGGCTGCCATGGCCAAAGCAACTCAACAGATGCTGACACCAAGGCCGGCCCCAACCCTGCCACCTCGGGAGTCCAGCCTGAGGCAGCCCTAAGCAGCCAGCTGTGGCCTGGGCGGGGGCACCTGAAGACATCTGTCCCGAATCCCACTGGCCCTGAGCTGGGAGATGACAGGGCAAAAGAGGCCCTCTCAAGGGTTCCAGCTGCCTGGGTCTCCCAAGAGGGGTCCCCCCACTCGCTGTCACCGGGCAGACTGCCCCTGTTCCGGGAATCCCACCCTCACCTGTGTAGGCCCTGTAGTGACCCATGCGCCCAGGAGATGCCCACCCACTGCTAGCCGTCGTTCCTGTGCAAAGTTGTGTGCTGTGCGCTCACCCGGGCGGCTGCCTCTGGGCCCGGGACACGTGCTGTGAGCTTCCTGCGAGCCCACACTCTGCTCGCTGCTGTCTGTCCCGAGTTGTGAGCACCACCTCTGCTTTCCCGGTGTAGATCTAGGCCAGGGGCTGCTTGTTCTGGTGGAGCTGTGTGTGTTCTTCTCTGAGCAGCTTCTCCCCGGAGGCCCCCAGTGCAGTCCCAAGAGATGGCAGAAAGGAAGCGCCAGGACACGACGTTCACCCCATCACCACGGTGATGACAGTGCCTGCAACAGGAAGAACCGGACCCAGGACAGAGTGGGGCTGTGCTGCCTGAGGCTCCCCGGGGAGCTTTGTGCTTTGGTGTTCCACCCCTGTTGTCACTTGTGACTCAGTTTCCTCCACCCAGTGGTGTGTTCTCTGCTGTGTTTTCCAGTGTCCTGTGACTGTCCTGTGAAAGCCATAAGGCAGGGCCCCACCCCAGCGGATGGGCTCAGGAGGGGGCTTCCTGAAGCCAGTGGACACTGCCAGAGTCCACCGTCCTGGCAAGAGGCGGACCTGGGGCCCTCAGGAAGGAGGGAGGTGGCCACGGGAGCCACAGTGGGAGGTGAGGCAGATGAGACGATTTGCCAGGAACCCCAGGAGGAGGGGCCCCAGGACCTGTGGCCTGTGGTGGCTGTTTGCAGTTTCTCTCTGTGTTGTGGTTCACTTCTCTTCAACGGTTTCAGTATGCGTTTCTCTTCAATAAATTTCATTCCGTGTTCCAGCTCGTCTCGCCTCTTCTGTCGGAAACTGGGGGTGAGGTTGGTTGGGGATGGGGTTAGGGTGGAGTGAGGGCCATTGGGGCTTTGTTAACACTGGTATATAATTGGGGCTTGGTCTACAGTGCATAGTAGAATGGGCTATCTGCACACGTTAGTCATGACCTAGAGTTTGTGGCTCATGGACCCAGGCAAACCCAGCTGAGCAGGCTGGATAGTCCCAGTAGACAGGACACTGGTGGGCCCAGGCAGTGGCTGGTTGGGTGTCCAAGGCACTGGTTGAACTTCTCCGAAATGAATGAGTAACACATTTAAGGGAGGATGAGGGACAGCAGGCAGGACCAGTGGCCCTAGGGTCCTTTATATCACTGTTGGGGTTCAGGGCTTCCACAACTGGTGTATCAAAACCAGGCCAATTTCTGTGAGTGCGTGCGAGATGGGGAATATGTGTGTGTGTACTAGTGATTGTGTGAGAGTGAGTGTGGGAGAGTGTGTGAGTTTGTGTGTGTCATGTGATAACGAATATGTGAATATGTAAACGAGCATGTGAGATGGTGTGTGAATGTGTTAATGAATGTGTGTTTGTTTTTGAGTGTGAGTGTGCATTAGTTGTTATGTGTGAGTGAATATGTGTTAGTGCTCAAATGTATGTTTGTGTCTAATGTGTATGTGTGTTAGTAAAAGTATGTTTGTGAATATGTGAGAGTGAGATGTGTGAATGTGTGTATGACAGTGAAGGTGTGGGTGACTGTGTTTTTGACTGTGTACATGAGTGAATATCTCTGTGTTTGAGAATGTCAATGTCTATGAGTTTAAGTGTGTATGCGTGAATGTGTGGAATGGGTGAATGCATGTGTGGGTATGCGTGTTAGTGTGTATGAAACAATTTATGAGATGGTGTGTGAATTTTCATGTGAGTGCAGGTGTTGGGTGATTGGTGGAATTTTTATTTCTTTAAGGAATCAAGAGAGTTGGAAAGAAGGCAGACAGAGGTAGAAGTTGCTTTGCTGCAAAATGGCAGTGAGACTTTCGTTGCCTCTAGGCTGATCGGCCCTATCTAATCGTCCATTTCTCACCCCTGGTACATTCCTATTTTTAAGGTTCACATGGCTTCTTGGCTTTTTGGCTAAGATCAAGTGCAGTATCTATTTTAAGGTCCCTAATCTTAAAATAGATATGTGTTACTGTTATTGTGTGATTAAAGCTGATAGAAACATCCTCGTATGAGTCTCTGCGGACTTTTGTTTTCCTTTCTCCTGCACAAATACCTGGGAGTGGAATGGCTGGGCCACAGGGTAGTAGTGGTATATTTAACTTTATAAGAAACTTCACACAGATTTCCAAAGCTATTGTGACAATTTATACTCTAATGAGCAGTGCCCATTTCTTAGGATACTCCAAAAAATCTTCTACTGCCAGTTTTAAACTTTTAGCCATTTCGTTGGATGACTCATCATGGTATCTCACTGTGGCATTAGTTTGCATTTCTGTGATGACTAATAATATTGAGCACTTTTTTGTGTGCTTATTAGCTATCTGTCTATCTTCCTCAGTGAAGTGCCTATTCCCTT